AACACTATAATATTTATAAGGCTTGCAGTACAATGCATTGGCATTCTATTCACTTGTATACAAAGTATACAATCACATTTTTCAGTGGTATAACAACAACAAAATACTTCAGTACTTCAATAATTCAGTGCCATTGTCACGTACAACCACTGATGATATCAGCTTTGACTTTTTGTGCACTGTGGAGATATTATATAAAGACAAGCATTTAACTCATAGACAGAGTAAGTATTCAAACTAAAGCATATGCTGAGAATAATAACTTGAAATGTACTGCTTTTTAGTAATTTTATGCTTATTAATAAAATTAGCAGTCATGAAATTTGGCACTTCATTGAGCTTCCATTGAGGAGCATAATGCACCCACATCCACTGATGAAATACTATGCATTAAATTCAGAATACCTTCTGAAAATACTGTATATTTGCTTGCTATTTTCTCTATAGGTAAGTGTGAAATAAATGCAGGCATTAAACTGAAAGACTGGAGTTTTCATATTTGATTAATGGGATTGGGGGCACTACTGGGTGGTGCATACTGTGTGGAATCATAAACCCTTTATAAATGGTACTTTATTAGACAGTAGTGCCACATTTTAAAAGTTGGCATTTGTACAAAAGACTTGAATTATCAAGATGGAGTAAATCCCTTAGGCTGGTGTAAATTCTCCTCCAGGTGTTAAGTGGCTTTTGTAGTTTCCTTTGTAATTAATTGTCAAGCCTGTCCTCCCATTAAAACTATGTATTTGTCCAAATATGACATTAACCTGGAAAGGACTTTGACTGTCAAGGCTTGATTGTATGAAATATGATTTATCAGAAGCAGTTATAATGTTATAGGTTTTGAAACCGTGTTGAAGGTTGTGGTAAAGGATGGGATGACAAACTGTCCCATGTTGACACAGGTGACTGCTGTTCAATAAGCCTTTGAAAGCAACAAAGACCTTTTCTTTAAAGGATAAGTGTGGTCATTTTCTATATTAATAGTATTTTCAACAATTGCCATACAAAGATGAAAACCAACAGTGAATTGCCTCTACTCACTATTAATGTCTGTCAGTCTCCAACCTAGATTAATTTATTCGTCTGTGCCACAGACCTCCGTTGCTGTCCAAAAATAGTTAAAAATACATGAACAAAACACACCAATGCAATGGGTGACATGTTTCTTCATTATGAAACATGTTTGTTAAAAATGTTGCTCCAAAAACTCCAAACGACCATAATTTTTTACCTCATCTGAAGTAAGCAAGAATCAATTGCGCATGCATGAGATCTTGGTAATAAGAGCTTTTGGGACAACATTTTTAACAAATATGTGGGCCTTGCTTCATAATTAAAAGTGACTCAGCTTCATGGGACCAGAAAACCTGAGGTAAGTCCACACATAGTTGTATAACCCTCTAATTTCGCTTTGTGGCACTAGTTTGAAAAGGGGGGTGCTGCCAGGGAAGCAGGTTTTAGTTGTTTTGATGTTTTTTATGTTATTTATTAATGGTGACTTTCCACTTTGCAGGAGTGATAGTCACTGCTGCTTTGCTTACCTTTGCTTTACATGCTTTTATGTTAAGAAGCTTACTCAGCATTATATTTCCTATTCATTGTATTGTTCCCATAGTTTTATGGTGTATGAGCCACACGTAAATGGTTTGAGGTGCAGGGAGGCAAGACCCTCTTATGTTTGATTTTGGTTTGGTTTGATTGATTGTGATGTTTGTTTATGGGTCTTTTCTAACCTGTAGACCTCTGACCATTTTTATTCCTGTTCTGCACTGTATTTATTGAGTGGGGAGTAACTTCTTAAGCATAGTATTTTAGTTTCTGGGGTTGGGCTCTTTTTTTAAAACATTTTTTTCACTGTTAACTTATTTAGTGACTCAAATAAATCTTTATTTTTGTGGACAAAACAAATGTCTCTGTGTGTTTGGGGACTTATCTGGGTGTGGTAACCCGGTGCTTGTGGGTTTGGAAGAATTTGATCTCTTGAAACAGGACAGACAATATTCTTTGAGAGCTCCTAAAACTTATTAGTGTCCGGGTTGCTTAGGCTTGTATATTGGCCTAGTCACATAAAGTTCTAAAATAAATATAGTGAAATAAAAAGTATAATATTTGCCTCTAAAATGTAGTGAAATACTCAAGTGCAGATTCCCAAAATTGTACTTAAGTTCAGTACATGAGTAAATATACTTGGTTACTTTCTACTACTATTTAGATTGGAAGCTCAAAAAATTAGGTGTATGTACAGTGTGTTCTATGCAGAAGCAACTCAGTTTATACACGGCTTGCAAGACTTTATTTCTAATGAAATAAAGTATCGTGATAGTTTAAGGATTTCCCTGAATGGTCATGTTATGACTGCAGATCAGTGCACTCCCAGCACCTCATCCACCAGCACTGGGACCATCAATAACTCTGCCCGCGCATGTGCAGGAGCGCGTTCCCGGCAGTGAGGCACATCTGCTCCCAATCAGCGGGGCAAAGGAGAGCGTGGGTGTGTCCTCATCACCAGGTGGTGTCTCGACATCCTGCTAGTATTCCGTAAGCTTCTGATCTGTCAAAATTGATGACTTGCCTCTGTTTTCCCTGCCTCGGTGATCCCAGTGTGGTTTTTTTGTGGTTTTCCTGAACTGTGAAATAAACTATTTGTGCTTTACCAGAGGAAATCCCCTTGGGCGTTTTTTGTGTATGAACTATTGCTTCTAGTTTTTGTTCCTCTGAATCCTGCTGTCTCCTCGCCAGTTTGAGTTTTATTTGAGCCGATGAGAACATTATGCTCACAGACTATTCTATTATCGGATAAGGCTCCTCCAGAACCTGACCCAGTTTCCTACGGCATCCTTCCAGGTCTCTGTTGTTTTGTTTGTCTTTTCCTCTTACCTGCTAGGGAAATCCTGTTGAGCTGCACAGACCTCCACAGTGACTTGGCTACCCAGGCACACCACCCACTTTGGTGGAGAGCTGGGCTGTAGCTGGACAATCTTGTGGTCCACGACTTTCATCGTCAGCGGATTCATGCACCGACCAGCGGTCATCTCATCACCTCCTGTCTTCCTGCACAGCACTGATCTCCATTCGGGCCTCCTGCCCAACAATCACTCATCAGAACCCAGGTTCTCGTCATTATCACTTCCATAAAGATTTGCTTCTGATCTGCTTCATCATCTCACACTCCTCCTCTGCTCTCTACTTAGTGGTTGCCTCTACTTACCGTCTACCCCGGGTTGCTCATCCAGTGGTCCAGTCAATCCAGCTCCCAGTCGCCCATGGCCGGCTGATACATCCACACTTCATTTTATAACTATCTGTTACCATTCCCGATTAAAATACATTTTTACCTTGAGCCTTTGCCCAAGTCCTGCCTTTACCGGGTCCTTGGTTGTTATTTCTGATGGCTAGCCATAACGGGTCATAATCTCCAAGCCATTGCGTGTTTATGTGAGCTTGCCTGACATCCACTGGTGCCCCCACCATATTGGCAGAATATTATATTTCCTTGTTATATATATTTCCAATAAAGCTTATTTTTGACTGCTTGAGGCCAGTCTGTCTGCCGCATGGGATGTGTTGCTAGTTAACAAGCAGATTAACAACCCACAATGTTATTGTTGGTGCTATGCTACCTGTTGGAATTAATTTCACTACTTTGGGACTGTATGTGGCCGTGTGGGAGAAGACGCAGTGACCACCGGTTAGATTTACCGACCTTGGAGCTGTTTGAAAGGGAGTGATGTTTCCACTACTCAGTGGGACTTAACAGTAAGTTAAAAAACACACACACATTTCATGTCTGTTAATGCATTATTTCTGTAATGTTAAAGAGAATTATTGAAAGGCTGAAGAAGTTACTATATCTGCATTAGGATTATGCATTTAAGCAAAAAATATTAAATTGCCAATATATCCTGCTGCTAGAGTATGCATATAGACCCTTAACCTTTTGCACACTTTATTGTGTTGTAGATATAACTTTAGATGATAAAAATTTTGGGGGGGTAAAATTGAAACTAACAAATTATGACAAAGCAAAAACTCAAATATTTAATTTACAAAATTGTTCAGATCTGTGGCATTTGAATTTTTCTCCAGTTCTCCTTTACATGTGTCTGGGACTTGACTGGAATTCACCTATGGCAAACTGAATTGACTAGATGTAGTTTAGAAAGGATCACACCTGTGTATATATGGTCCAACAATTCATACCACATGTCAGAACAAAAAAACCAAGCCATTAAATCCAAGGAGTTTTGGGTGAATGCCCGCTTAAGACAAGTTGAAACCTCTTGTCTTTCTCCCATCCAGCCTACCTCCAACACACACACACACACACACTGGATGGTCACTAAAGCCATCGTTTAATCATTGTAAAAATTACAGACAGCACCTGAGTAGAGGTGGAAACTAAGTACATTTACTCAAGTACTGTACTCAAGTACAATTTTGATGTATCTGTACTTTACTTGAATGTTTTTATTTTCTGCCACTTCGTACTTTGACTTCACAACATTGTAGAGGCAGATATTGTCAAGATAAATGATTATTGTGCTGCACTCTGCTTTGCTATAATGCTCTCATTTTGTCATGTTATACATCCAGCACACCCCTTCAGTGCTCTACAGAGCAAGTAATTTTTTCTCGCTTCAGGTAAAGTGAAACATTACTCAAGTTGACAACACTTAAGCTCATTATTGTACATTCAATCAAACCTCAATGAGTTAAAAAGTCAGTAAGAATAGTTTATCAAAACCCCCTCTAAATGAACAAAAACTTGCAGAGCAGTGACAATTATAGCTTATAGTTAGTTATGCTGCTATCAGTTAGTTAAAGGCCATTACATGTCTCTAACTGTGTGTCTCCTCTCTCCCCTAGTGTGTCCTCTCTCTCTCCCTGTACCTTTCTGCAGGTAGTAGGCTCTGGAGCTCTACGCTTCTGATGAGCAGTCCCTCAACCTGCCCAGTGTTTGATTGTTTGTTGTTGTTTGTTGTGTCTTGTTGCTTTTCTTCTTTTCTCTCTACTCTATCCTCTCACCCCAACCAGTCAAGGCAGAAAGCAGACTGAGCAATTATTTTTTAAAGGTTATAACTGGCAATATTGTTTACCTGACGTAGCAAAGTTTTATTTGTAAAATAATGTATGTAGATGTAAAATGTAGAGTAATTAGTAATTTCCTCTGAACTGTCAATCACAATCAGGTAGACTGAATACTTAATTTGTTCTGGAGTTGAATAGGAAAGTCACTTTCGGCTTTTCCCATTTAGGGGTCGCCACAGCGAATCGTCACACTGACAACTTGCATGTTGACATTTGGCACTTGTTTTACGCTGGATGCCCTTCCTGACTCAACCTTGAGCCGCAGTGGCAAGAGCGCTACGCCTTAACCACTAGCCTACCAGGGACTGCTGGAATTGAATCATAAAGTTAAAAAAAAAAAGTTAATAGTTTTTTATGTTCAATAAGTAGTTCAATAATCATGATCTCAATACTGAACAAAATAATTGTGATTATGATTTTTGCCATAATCATGCAGCCTTACCATCATTTTTAATTCCATTACAAAATATTTTAAGTATCTTTTTCTCTCACAACATCAACAACAACAACATTCTATTAACTGTTATCAAAATGTATACAACTTTACAGTGCATCATGGAGTATATTTTCCTTAAATAAGTGAAATAAGGAGGGAAGAAGAATAGAGACACCAGCCCACTTATCTTGACATATTGAGTGTCGCAAAGAAGCCGAGCCACTCTGGCATAACTAGCCAATTGATGCATAATTAACTCACACAGAAAATGACCTGCATTACTTATTTACACTATTTACACTTATTCAAAAGCATGAAATCACTTAACACACTTTTTTTCAGAGCCCACTTTAAGCATCCTCACTGCTGCCAGACGTCCACCTGGCAGCTTGTTGAGAATCACTAATTCAGTACTACCTCTCAGCAGTACTACATCAATCAAGCCTTTATGGCAGAGTGACTACGGAAGACACTTTGAGTAAGAGGCAGGTAACAACTGCTTGGAGTTTGTCAGACAGCTTTTAACCGACTCAGAGCATGAGGAAAAAGATTATAATGTCTGATGAGACAAAGAGTTTACCTTTTGGGCAGAATGCTGAGAACTATGTCTGGTGAACATCAGGCACTTCTCATCACCTGGCAAATACCTACAATGAAGCATGGTGGTGGCAGAATCATGTTGTAAGGGTGCTTTTCACTGGCGGGGACAGGGAAACTGGTTAGAGCTGAGGAACAAATGAATGCATCCAAACCATTGACTGCATAGACAATGGACGTGGCGTCACCACTTCCCTCTGCTATGCAAAGGTGAAGCCAAAATATTGTGAATACAACAGCTGCCATCTTACTTTCTTGGAACCAGATTCTGCACAGCAGCAACCAGATGTGGAGTGACAGCACAAGACTGCCAACAAAGCTGTCAAATCAACCAAATTACACCCCTTTCTATATATCTACTAACTTGTTAAAAACAAACTTACCAGAAAACTGACCACTTGTACACAAATCAGCATGATAATATCTACCAAAAATGACAGAAATCACCGCTGGGAAAAATTTATTTGATTTGTACTTTCAGTTTTCAGATTGACTCATGTCCCATTCACTAACAGGGACAAGGCAGGATTTATGATCTATGCTGCAACCAGCCACCAGAGACTGATTGATTCGCAACAGCTTCACTTCTGGGAGCTAGCATTATGTCTATCATATATACAGTCAGTGGTCCAAATACAGAGAGTTTCTTGGATAAAACCTGCTCCAGAGTGCACACAACATGTGGCAATGTCACCTGTGAGCATGACAATGACCTAAAGCATACAGCCAAGACAAACAGCAGAGTGACATCAGTACAAAGGTCTGACTGTCCTTGAGTGGTCCAGCCATAGACCCTGTATAACATCTGTGGCGAGACCTAAACATGGCATTTCACAGATACTTGAAACAACATCACGCTCAGTCTAAAATCTATAGGGGGTGATGAATCGTCAGAAAAAAGTTATAAACATGCAGAGTAGGACAGCATGCCTCAGAAATAATTTATTTAGTTCTCAGGCCCCCCCGCACACAACCCTAGTGCATGAGAATTGAGTAACTTATTCCTGAAGTGTGCTGTTTTAGTCTCATAGTTCACAGATACTGCCATCCAATCTGATGAAGCTTGAGAGGATCTGCCAGTCAGAATGAGATAAACTGCCCAAATCCAGTTGTGCAAAGCTTTTAGCTTTTACCTGAGAAGACTGGAAGCTGTAACTGCTGTCCATGAAGCTTCTACAAAGTACTGAATTTAGTGTCTGAATTATTTTGTAAATAAAATATTTCAGATTCTTCTTTATAATAAATCCGCAAAAATTTATAAAAATATATTTTCACTTTCATTATGAGTAATTGAATACAGATCAATGGGCAAAAATAGCAGTTTTCTGTGTGTGTGTATGGGTAAAGACTTGGCCACTTATAGTCAAAGACAAAAGCTAAGACATAAGCTTGACCATAACAAATGATAAATCATAAGCCATTTTATGTCAGATACTTTGTTTCTGCAGGAATTTGTTGATGTACCTGAAGTAATACTAGTTAGTAGATCATCAACATTATGATCTGCATATTACTCCTAGTCAGTTCTTAACTTTTCCTTTTCATGCTAACATATACAAAACCAGTGTTTGTAATTTTAATAAAGTGCCTTCAGAGTTGTGCAGATTTTGTCACCAAACTCAACCTGTGTACATATTTAGAAGTTTCATATTTACAGAAAGAACAGGAATGAAAGGTTTGAGATGCCCTAAGGGCACACAGTTGTTTTCTTTAAGGAATATCATTTGCACATTTACTGTTTTAGGGTGTTAGGATTAATTTGTGCTCACTACTCTTTTTATGTTTTCCTTGTCAGAAAACAACATGAACATCATAACAAAAACTCCTATGATAATTGTAATAAAACCTAAAATCAAACTAAACTAATACAATGATGATTCAGCTGGTCTTTTTGACTGTTGTAGTTTGTAGTGTTGTGTGGGACTGAACTACAACCCAGTCACATCAGCATTTACAATAACTATGTTTTAGACCAAAATTCATTTCTTTCAATGAAAATCAAGAATTCACTTTTCTTTAACTCTGACACACAATTTTGCATCATTGACTAAATTGCTAATCATGTTGACAAACTGACCCAGTACCCTCAGGTCCAGAATGTTGTTGTTTGTTTTTTTTTTTGTTGGTTTGCTATTTAATTAAATTGAGTCTGTCCTTACTATAGGTCTGTTTTGGGTGCCATCCAAAATGCCTGACCCATGAAGACAGCTACTAAAAAGGTATTTATGTTATTTAGTCTACTCTTTTATGTATACTGGAGGCATTGACCACAGAACTATGACCTTTAGAATGGTACTTAATACTTAATAATTACTTAATAGTTACTGTATATGAACACATCTCTTATCAACTGGATATTAGAATCTTTATAAATGTAGTATTTTTCACAGACCTATCGTAGCTATTTACATGATTTATGTCCACACCATATTTCTTCTTGTGTACTGTTAAATCAAACGTACTACATTCTAATAAATTTTGTTATGTAGAAACTACATTTTGCTTGTTTGGGTTCTATCCTCTCTGTACAGAGAGTTGTGTTTTTTTTTAAGTGTAATTGATTTATCTATTCATTGTCATCTAGACCCTCCAGCTTTCATCCATCCATCTGTAACTACACAATATCTGACTCCACCACGCATTGCTCGCTGTACTCCTTCACCAGCTCAATGCTTAAGGTGTTGTGGCAGAATTCAGCCATGGGCTTCCAGAGTGGTGGGTCCAGGAACATCTGGCACATAACATGACCATTCAGGGTGGCTGTGTGGCGCTGCAGGTGGCACAAGAACTGTTGCTGAGCCAGGTCCAGGTCTTTACCAAACATATCAATGTTGAGGTAATACCTAGTTAAAAAAAAGCGTATAAGCTGACTGAGTAAAAAGAATGCCATATGGTGAAAATGCCTGTGCTCTTAAATGTTATGAATATATTCAGTATATTCAAGTATATATAGCCCCTTTCAGACATGTTCCCCTACCCTGCAATTTGCCTATTTCATGTCTAGGTGTTATGTCTGAACAAAACCCCAAGTTGCGTAGACAGCAAAGTGCTACTGGAAATTTTACGTGGTCATGGAGTTAGGATGGGATGAATGTAAAACTGCATGCTGATACAAAGTTTATTTTGAACTGGTACAGAGAATATGTGGTTTAGCGGTGTGAGCTAGCCACATAATTAATGCAGAATGGCTGGAATGGTTTGCCATCACGTGATGTTGGATATTGTGTTAATATTGTAGCTATACCCGGCTAGGTCCTTAGGTACTAGGTACCATGTCTGAAAGGGGTGTATGTGTAGTAGCCTAATAAATAGTTAAAAACAATAATACACTATCCAATAAACAATTATAATTCTAGCACCGGGCAGTGGTGGTGTCAAAAGACATGATTGACAGTAGTTCATGACATTATATGGTTGTACATTTACTTATGGGAAGTAGTTGCCCCTAAATAAACAAATAATGTCTGCTTGGCATTATAATAAATAAATGAATAAATAATAATTACCAGTCATCTCCAATGGGCACCCTGAAAGGGAAGGTACAGAGGCTGGCCACAGTAGGGCTGGACACATCATCCACCATCCAGTCAATGTCCTTCTTCAGTAGAATGGCCATGTTACTGGGCAACGGTTTGAATGGCTGCCAGTCTTGAATGATGGTGGCATTTGGAAGTACCCCCTGCATCAGGTCAGTGGTCAGATACAGTTGATGGATTGCTATTTGGTCAAGGCGCACTGGAGGAGAGTTGGAGGAAAAGGTCAACAAAGAGGACTGGATGTCTTCACCTAGACCAAGTTCACACAAACGTAGCTTGAGGTCTTCAGCTTTGAAGCGCACCAGCAGAATACCCTGCAGAGAAGAAAGCTAATGAGTCATCTGACAAAGAACTACAACAGTAAACACTTTTACTGAAAGCAAGAGAAACAGCATTTTTCAGGAAGCATCTTAGTATTTACAAGCAGCCATTGAGGAATAATTTAGTTTTTTAACCTGCTCTATTCCCCCTAAAAGTGGGAATGGTGACTCTATGGCTAGTGCTAATTTTGATATTGCTACCTCTGTTATAGAGATATGGGGAAATGAAAAGTCAGTTTAAACAGCAGTTACTGGGGTAACTGATTAGCCTCCAAGAGTGCTCATAATAAAAATGATTTCAGTGAAATCATTTTTCACCACCATCTGTATTCACCGTTTTCATTGAACCACTAGCAGCAGCAATATGACAGAAATATGCAGATGATTTATTATTATATTTACAGGACCCTTACAGTTCACAATGAGAAACGTTCTCCATTATTAACGCATTCTCCAACTATACAATAAAATGGAATAAATCCACCATATTGCCACTCTCTGAAGATACCTGGGATTCTGCCCCCTCCTACTTCACAGTGGCAACATTAAATATTTAGGTATCAGTATTTCCCCCAGGCTGCCCTCAACTACACCCCTCTGCTAAAGAAGATGATTTCAAACACTGGTCCAACCTCCCACTCTCACTCACTGGCCGAATTGCTGCAGTCAAAATACTGTAGCATCACTGGGCTGCTGACACCCTCTAAGACAAGTTCCCTCTTCAAGGTATGGGAGCTGTCTAGGAGGGGAACATGCCACACATTGGGTCAGGTCTCTCCTGTCAAGGTCAGGGGCCGACCCCGAGCTGTTTCAGTCCCAACAGTCAGCTCTCTCAGAGGCTGACCAATGGCTCCAGTGATGCTGTTTAGTGTGACTTTCCATTCCCTCTGTTAGAGTTAGCCCCCCTCGCCAGGAGGGTGAGGGAGAACTAGGGGTAGGACACAAGATAGCTGACCCAGGTGCTAGTACAAAACAAAGGTTTAAATAAAGGAAGGTCATCATTGGGATGCACCTCAGCTGTGTGCGTTGACAAACCAGTTACTAATTACTGGAATGCAACACAGCTGAGGTGCAGAGCCCATAAAACGGAGAAAACAAAGAGACAAAACGGAGAAGAGGCAGCGGCCGCCGAGCGGCCCTGACAGTTACCCACTTTGTTTAGAGTGTTACAAATCTCTTTTCATTGGTACATATACCATTGTTTACCTATCTATGGAGGAGAAATTTTAATTAATTAATGCCATTTTGTTGTGCTGTCCACTTTTGATGCAACACTGTGGTGTGTGTTCACAATCTGTCCTCTTGTTTTAAGGAAGAGGCTCTCTGGTTTTTTCGTTCTCAAATAATTAAGACTATTTGGAGTTAGGATGGGTGCTAATCTAGAGGTACCCAAGATTAAACATTAAATGACTGAGCAAAATGAGCATGCCATGGGCTCTTTAACTTTTATGCGTGTTCATGTTTAGGCAATAGTTGTTCATTATCAGACAAATCAAAAAACAAAAAAAATAAAAGATCCTTAGAATAATCCCTGCATTTATTTGCAGTATATCCTTTTGTATTCCAGTTCTTTTTACCATGCTAACTCTGAGAGACGAGGCAGTCCAAGTAGCTTCAAAACAGTGCTGATTTATTCCATGAACACAGGTAAAAATTAACATTACATGCTCAGGTATCTTGCACCTCCAACATGCACGCAGGCAGCTGAAGGATAAAAGACCCTGAACCCAACAGGCCTGTACATTATATCGCTTTGGGCTAGCCCCATTTTACGCAGGAACGCCAAACCGTGACGTCTCCCAGTGCCAGCTTTGCAGCTGACCAGAGCAGTAGTCAAAACATGAAGAAAATCAATGTGTGATTGTCCGTTGATTGTGTGGTGTGTATCTAAGACATTCTGACACGACATCCAGTGACATGTCATGATATCAAGCATAAGAAGATATTATGATTATGATTAAACATGTCATACAGTAATCAACTTTCTATCTAGTTATCCTTGAACATAAACAACCTGGAGTACCCCATGGGAATGACTAAGCTTTTAACAGCCTGAGCTAGACATCCTGTCTACACTAAACATTTCTAATACATGAAGTGTCCAACCAATGTCTAACTAAAAATACCTAACAATCCTTAGCCTTAATTTAATAATTGGAAAAACTTTGTCTGCAGCATATTCTTCTGTTCTTGTTAACGTGATCATATTTCTTACAATTCACTCAATGGAACACACTTTTCCTGTTGCTATGACAACATCCCCACAGTTGTTACATTAAATCTCATATTTTTATAGTCTATTGAGTCCTTCACTCATGGTACTGACAATGTTGCTTCTTATTAACAACCCTGCCTCTTTCACATAAATAGGAAAACCGATAGGAAAACCAAAGATTCACAGAGCCAGCTTTGTCTTATGTTAATGTTACTGTAGACTCTGTGAAGCCAAGTTTGACCTCGCTTCATGACACTGGCCCAAGATGTACTGGTGAGAGCGCTGATTGCCAGAAACCCAGTACATCCAGCAGGCTAAAGATTGACATGATGGCTATCAAGGGATGAACAATTGAATGGAATGCAATGAATAATGAATAATGCAATGAATAATGAATAACAGCTAGAGAGAGTGGTAAAGAGGAAGAGAAAGCATGGCCAATGAACTTGTTTTTGGTTCATTATGCATAGCATCCTATCTGAATTTTTCCATATTCAGTGAAGAGTCCCCTGTAGTTTGGCACTGAAGCCCCCAAAACCAGACTGTTTATTGAGTGGAGAGGCTGGTGATTGGAAGATAATCAGGGAGAAGCATTTTCAAAAGCATGCTGAGCATGGCTACTCTAAAAATCCATTATTAATGAACTCTCTAATTCTATATCAGTATAAACTAAAATTTGGTTAAGATATTGTAGAGAGAAATTCTTGATACCATGATATAGTGCTATGTTATGTATTTGCAAAACTGTTTAAATAATTGTTTAATCTATTTGACCTTTGGAAAAACTTGTCCTGTGCTCATGAAAGGCTGGTGTCTAACTGCAGAGACTCAGAACAACAGGAAGTGTGTGCAGGCAGAATGAGATGACTAAACTGTCTGCACAAGAATAGTGTATGGGTGTAAGGTCTGATTGGCTTGACTTTAGAGTATCAACATTTATCAACATATGAAATTCTAGGATTGACATTATAATCTGCATCAGTAAATATATCTACATGTTTATGTTAGTATCATATGCTTTATGATCTACTTGTGTTAACCATTTCATTTGCTGTAAAGAGTGTAGGACACATGTGTAAGGCTGTAAGAATCTACAGGAAACCACGACAGGAAGTAGACCAGGTAACCTAGCAACGCTGGCGCTCTTCCTGAATATGCAGACGACAACTAACTGTTTATAAAGACGTGTGTAGGAGTGTAATGTCTAGGTCGAAAGGTCAGGATATTTTGTACTGAGAATTCAAAACCTGCCTGGTGATAAGATCATCATATGAGGAGTCGGATCAGATCGAGGTCAAGAAACCAACCAAGGAACGAGGATGAAGGACAACCAGGCTGACGTCAGATTATTTGCATGACTCTCATCATAAATTCTCTGTGCAGAGGAAACTCGTGGTTCCGCCTTCCTGCAGCAGCTTGCACTGACTTCTCTGTGATAGGGCTTCAGAAAGAGACGGAATCCAGAGCTCTGTATTGCTTTTCCAGAATATTTTGCCTTAAATATTGATTGTAATAAATATCTCAAAAGACAGATTTGTCTTTGACCATTCTTCATAAAAGAACATGCAAGGACCAGGTTTTGTCCTAACAAATTGGTGACCCCGACGTGATGAAGACTAAGAGATGACGTCCGACGAATAATCATACCACTACGGCCGTATTAAAAAGGTGAGCAGAAAACCTTTTTAACAAAAATTCTGCATATTGAATATTTTAAAACAGAGTGGTGTGATTTTTCCACAAAGAGACAAAACGGAGGAGAGGCGGCGGCCGCTGAGCGGCCCTGACACCCTCAAATCTCTACAACGAAGGATGTGTTAACAAAATTATCATTAGTGACAGTCACTATACCCATTTTTAAGGGAAATATAGCAGGTAAGAAAAAAACACACAATCACAGTTCAAGGCAGTGAAATGGGGTTTCATATTAATTTGTGGTTGGTACCTGCTTAGTTATGATGCGATACTTCTGGAAGTCCTTGGGTCCAAGCTGATCATCACGGGTCAGACGGGTTACTTTGACATCAGGGTACGTGGATTTGATAAGCTCAGAGCAAAATCGCAGGAGAACTCCTGCCACACCCTTGCCCCTTTCCTGAGGAGCGACACGGAGACCTTCCACCAGCATAGTCTCCCCATCGTCAATTACACATACAGACTCTAGAGCAATCTGTCAAGCATCACAGAGGAAGAAGAATGAGTAACAAGATGAAAAAATTACAAACAAGCAGATCAGAACAGCAGATAATGTTTTAGAACATTACACCATTCTTATAGCTGGGGCACTAAAATGTGCTGTTAAAGAGATTTGGATAACATAAACATTTCAGAGTATAAAACACAAGCCTCCTATATCCATCCACCCATTTTCTACCATGTATCTAGATCTGGTTCATGGTGGCAACAGAAAAAAACCATGTACCAGCACTGTGCTGGAGTCATCTGGCCCCCTCCGGCGCATACTGTGGTAGTCTGCAACACAGTTAGCAACTCCTTGTCGGAAGCCATGGTCCTCACTTGGAAAACAGTGGATTGGCCTTCAGGTTGGGGGGACATAACTGCTGAGTCACTGTAGTTATCTTGAGCCCCTTTCAGACATACACTGGAACCCTGAAATTATCTAGACATTACCAGGAGGAGCTGTATGTAAGAACGCAAATGTCAAAGTCAGTTGACCCAGACATTAAAGGAACTTTACCCTGCCATCTCCCTACTCCAAAGTCTACATATTGTCTGAGTTAGCTACAGTGAGCCCATGTGAGAATACAGTATCTTATAATTTGGAGTATTCACGCTGAGCTAGTGGGTGTGTTGGTAACATTCTATCACGTGACTGGTGTGAAAACGCAAAAATCCAAACATCCAATGGTGAAGGAAAAAAATAATTTACAATAACAAAAACTTTCACTTACAATGTTAAGAGCCAGCACCAGAATCATCATACAAATTTAAGGTACAGCAAGACACTTAGTTGTTTATGACCGAATTACAAACTGGCTGCGTGACAGCATCATGTATTTCGAGTAGGTGAGAACGTATCTGACATGGACTATCTCCTGTTGTGTGTTACATGTGTGAAAGGCAAACTCCAGACAAAGTCTGAACAGGATTCTGTGGAGTTGTCTGGAGTTCATGTATGAAAACTGCATTGGGGTCTTGTCCACAAATGAGGGTAAGATGCAAAGCAAGACCTACAGACAGATTGCGCTAGGTTTCTGTACTAGACTGTCAAATTGAAGGAGCTGAGCCTTAAGGCAAAGCTCAATTTACTAATCAATCTACATTCTGACATGCGCCTTTGGTCATGACCTATAGGTGATGACCAAAATAATCGCAGACTCAGAATTAATTTCTTTGGCAAGGCAACTTTATTTATAAAGCACATTTCATACACAGGGGGAATTTAAAATGCTTTACAGAGGCATGTAATAACAGTAACAGCATTGAAAACAAGTAGCATTAAAACTAGAATAAAATCATTTAAGACTAAATGAAAATAAAGCATTGTTAAAATAAAATTAAATACATAAAATGAATATAAAAACAAAAAACACAAAATAAAAGGTCTGAAACAGAAATCCAGCTATTATAGTGTAGAAAGTACAGCACAGAAACCAGTCAAAATGGCACAGGAAAAAACAGTTTCAGTTGAGACTTGAAAGTGGCAGAGTTGAGACTCATTTATGGTCAGGAAGTTGGTTCCATCTATGTGCAGCTTCACCCTGTTTGGTTCTGACTCAAAGTTCTACCAGCCAACTGCTTCCTAAGGATCTCAGAGTCCTACTGGGTTTGTATTCTTTAAGGAGATCAGAAATGTTAGTTAAATTTAAAAATCCATGCTATACATACAACCAAAAAAAGATTCTGTATTTCTATAAGTGGGGTAAAACTATGGAATAATTTAAGTGTGGACATAAAAAATAGTAATAGAATTGACGAGTTTAAATATAAATATAAAGGTATGTGTCAATCAAGATATATGCAAGAACAGGTTTAATGATTAATTAGATGGAACATTGTGGGTGTGGTGTATGATTGTTAACACTCTGTAATAATTATTTAGTATATTACTTGTGTGGTGTAGAAGAGAATTATCTAAGAATGTAATTATGTAAGAATGTTAACACTGTTATAATTTTTTAGTATATTACTTGTGTGGTGTAGAAGAGAATTATTTATATAGAGATACTGCTTGCAAACCACTGATGTAAGATGATGTCATGGGGTAGGACTGGATAAGTCTGACTTCTTCCTACTCCATTCAAGCATGTACTAGGTATAAGCAAATTGATATTGGATTAGCATTTGTTGGATATGTGTAAAATTATGTGTGTTGATATATCAACTGTCTTTACATGCCTGAAAGAATAAATAAATCAAATCAAATCAATTCAAATCAAATGTACTTTGGCTCCATACCACTGAGTGATTTATAAACTAGCAGTAGCACTTTAAGATATATTCTTTTGGTAACTCTTTTCTTTTTTTCTTTTTTTTTTGCACTGATCATATTTATTCTATTTTAGTCATTTATTGTGATTTTATTGCAAGTACTTTGGTCAGCTGGATGTTGTTTTTAAAGTGCTATATAAATAAATTTGATTTGATTTGAACTGGTAGCCACTGTAAGGATTTAAGAACAGGCGTGATATAATCTGTTCTCCTGTTTCAGTCTTTCTGGGAAGACCAGACAAAATACCGTTACAATAGTCCAGCCTGCTGGAGATGAAGGCATGAATTAGTTTCTCTAAATCTTGTCTGGACAGGAGACATGAGCCTTGCTATTTGTTTAAGATGAAAAAGCTGATTTAGTTATGGTTTTGATGTAAGTGGTGAAGCTCAGGCCTGTGTTAATTATGACACCAAGACTTTTAGCTTGAGTTTTTGTCTTTACAGCTCTAGAATAAAGCTGATCAATAACTTCTGTCCTTTCCTCCTTGTTACCAGAAACAATGTCCTGGTGATCCACTCAGATTTATGATCACCAATGGAAACAACATAACCCCTGACTTCAAGATATGACGTCAACCAAACAAGGACTGTACCCGATGTTTTTGAGGCAAAGTCATTACACACACTGTACTTTGGGATTGGAACTCAGGGGCTAAATGTGTTGAGGGATTTAGTTGGATTTATGTTAGTAATCATAATGATACCGTGCTGCAGCACAGTGGTGTGGTGGTTAGCGCTGTTGCCTCACGGCAAGAAGGTTCTGGGTTTGAGCCCCGACCAACCTGGGGCCTTTCTGTGCGGAGTTTGCATGTTCTCCCCGTGCTTGCGTGGGTTCTCTCTGGGTGCTCCGGCTTCCTCCCACAGTCCAAAGACCTGCAGCATAGGTTGATTGGTGTCTCTAAATTGCCCGTAGGAGTGCTTGTGTGTGTCAGTTGTTGTTCGTCTGTGTGTTGGCCCTGCGATGGGCTGGCGACCTGTCCAGGGTGTACCCCGCCTTTTGCCCGTAGCTGGCTGGGATTGGCTCCAGCCCCCCGTGACCCCGTTTGGGACTAAGCGGTTTGGAAAATGGATCATAATGATAATCACCTTTATTTGGCCAAGTATGTTACAGACACAAGGAATTTGTTTCCGGTACAGAACCGAGGCAGTCATCTGCAGTGCCAACTCACACCAATGGCTCTGGCCACCGGAGGCAACTTGGGGGTTCAGTGTCTTGCCCAAGGACACTTTGACATGTGGACTGCAGGCACCGAGAGTGGAACCTCCAACCCTCCGGTTGGGAGACGACTGCTCTACCCACTGAACAACAGCTGCCCCTGTGCGTGGTCCCACACAAAGTTAAAATGACCTAAGAAGTGCACTTTCTGTAGGTTACATGCAGATGAGAGCCAACTGCTCAGTGCCATCAATCTGCTGGATCTTTTGCGTATGGCTTCATTCACTGATTTTATTGACTGAGGCAAAGTGAAACCTAAAGCTCAAAGTTACTGCACCTATGAATAAAGAGCACATGGCATGCTTTTCCTTGTTTTCTGACTTATCTACAATGTTCTAGTACTTTTATGCAGAAGCAAGTCGGTTTATACAAGTCTCACTAACTCTCACTCACAAGACTTTTTTTCTAACAATATAAAGCCTTAAGGGATAGTGTAAGGATTTTCTTGAATGGTCATAATCTCCAGGCAGTTGTGCGTTCATGTGAGCTTGCCTAACATCCACCAGAGCCATATTAAAAGCAGAATTTTTCAACTGTCCACGGTTTTGTTGATATACGATGGATTCAGAAAGTATTCAGACTGCCTCACTTTTTTCAATTTTATGTTGCAGCCTGATACTACAATTGTTCAAATTCATTTTTTTGCATCTCAATCAACACTCAGTACCTCATAATGACAAAGTGAAAACAGAATTTTAGAAATGTCTATTATTAAAAAGAAGAAACTGAAATATCACATTGGTTTAAGTATTCAGGCCCTTTACTCAATACTTTGGTGGAAATTACAGCTTCAAGTTTTTTTCAGTATGACGCAAAAAGCTTTGCACACCTGCATTGGAGGATTTTCCTGCCATTCTTCTTTGCAAATCCTCTCAAGCTCAATCAGGTTGGATGGGGACTGTCAGTAGACAGCCATTTTCAGGTCTCTCCGGAGATGTTCAATAGGGTTCAAGTCAGGGCTCTGGCTGGGCTACTCTAGGACATTCAGTGTTGTCCCTAAGCCATTCCTGTGTTGTCTTGGCTGTGTGCTTAGGATTGTTGTCATGTTGGAAGGTGAACCTTCGGCTCAGTCTGAGATCCTGAGTGCTATGGAACAGGTTTTCATTGATGATATCTCTGTACTTTGCACCATTCAGCTTTCCCTCAACTCTGACCAGTCTCCCAGTCCCTGCTGCTAAAAAACATCCCCACAGCATGATGCTGCCACCACCATGCTTTGCTGTTGGGATGGCATTGGGTAGGTGATGATCGGTGCCTGGTTTCCTCCAGACATAACATTTAGAATTGAGGCCAAACAGTTCAATGTTGACTTCATCAGACCAGAGAATCTCGTTCCTCACAGTCTGAGAGTCCTTTTTGAAAACTCCAAGCGGGCTTTCATGTTTTCTGCACTGAGGAGAGGCTTCCGTCTAGCCATTCTGCCATAAAGCCCAGATCAGTGGAGGGCTTCAGTGATGATTGTCCTTCTGGAATCTCTGGAGCTCAGTCAGTGACCATCGAGTTCTCGGTCACCTTTCTTACTAAGGCTCTTATCCCCTGATTGCTCAGTTTGGCCAGGTGACCAGCTCTTGGAAGAACCTTGGTTGTGCCAAACTTCTTCCATTTGAGAACTATGCAGGCCACTTTCCTCAAACAATTGGCTTCAGCTGTGCAAATACCTGCTTTATAGGAAGAGGCTCTCGGGTTTTATCACTCTGAAATAATTAGACTATTTGGAGTTATGATGGGTGCAAAGCTAATCTAGAGGTACCCAAGCTTAAACATTAAATGGCTGGAAATTAGCAAAATGAGCACTTTAAGCAAGGCTGAGTGTGGCCAATACCTGGATGGGAGACTGTCTGAAGAGACCTGCAACCCATCGACCTGAGTATATCCTCCCTTCATGATCCAGAAGCAGCCCCCTGGTCTCTCCTGCACACCACAGCCATCTTCCCCATTTCCAGCTGTGGTGCAATTCCGACACTGAAAGTGTCCACCCTTTTTTGAATCATATCCTTGAATAGAAAGTTCTTAAGCCTTTTCCAGTACTTTGAGTTGTGCATTTGGGTCCTAATTTCTGGGGTGGGGGGCAAACCATGCCTGAGTGATTTGCCATGTTGTTTTATGGGTTTCCTGGGTATGTTATGATTTGGACTCGCTTCCTGTTCTTGTGCTTTTATTTTGGTTTATTTCCTGTTCTGCTTCACCTCTTTACCACAGTTCCCTATCAGCATTCATTGTTTTTTCAGCCATATATAGCACCTACTTTTCCTCAGTCATTCACTGGTCACTCCTGCCCTACTCAACTTACTTGTTGATTCCCAGCTACTCTGGGTTTTGCTACCCGCGCTGCGAGACAGCTCCGACTGCCCCAGCAATCACGCCCGCCAGAGTCTCCAGTCCTATGTCTACTACTCACCTGTTTTATCCTCTCTGCTACCCGGGTTGCTCCTGAACCACAACTGCTCGGCTCACCTGCCTTCCTCGACACTGAGTAAGCCTTCAGTCCCGTGCCTTCCACTCACCTGTTGTTCCTCGCTGCAGCCTGGGTTGATCTACTACTACTACCACTACTCAGCTTACCTGCTTACCCTCAACGCTGAGTGCATCAGCTTCTCACCTGTTGTTCCTCCATGCTGTCTGGTTTGCTCCTGAACTGCAACTACTTCTCAATACTGAGTGACTGAAGGGGTGTAGCTCGGGCTGGGTCCCAAATGAGATAATGGTCATTATCTCCATTAAGTAAAAATGGCTCGCCATGATCATGCCTACCAGTTTGTTTATATTAATATGTGGTGGCATCTTAATTTCAGAGAAACCTACAGGGATTACAATAAAGTTAATTTATTGAAT